TGATTGCTGTCTCTCTATGGATTCTTGCAGCCTGTTAAATTTGTCTTTATGCTCTTCTCTAATCTTTTTTAATTTCCTCTATTGCATGTTCTGCGTTTTGCTTAATTTCCTAAGTTCTTGAAGAGCTCTGTATGTTAATCTTTTGTATTCTGTCTCTGGTAATTCCAAGAAATTTTCCTCGTCTGGAAAATTTCTAGATTCTTTATTTTGGGCACTTGCTGAAGCAATCATGGACTGCCTCTTTTTGTGATTTGATATTGACTGTTGTCTCTGAGCCATAAGTTATTTGTTTGCTTGCTGTGTCCTCGCTTGTTTTTTTTTTTTTTGCTATGGCCAAATAGGCTGCTCATATGAGCTACTTTGCTTATTGGCACCTTTGAAGCTCCTATGTCCTGTCAGCAGGTCGTTAGATCTGTTACTAGCTGTGTGAGCTCAGGAATCCACCCATTCCTCTTGTATGGATTCAGCTCAGGTGCCCAGGTAGGTAGCCTCCAAGTGTGTGGTGTAGGCTCTCACTTACAGTTCTAGACAGGCATGGGTGATTGGTGTAGGCACAGGCATCTGGCTGCAGCAGGGGGACACACTCTTGAGCAAGGCAGGGGGCTGACGGCCACCACGTCCAGGAGGAAGGCGTGTCCCTGTTCCCTAGAGCGTGTAGCTAGGTGGGTCTTGTGGCTGGACTATGAGAACCCAATGCTATTGGCTGTAAGGACTGGGGGGCACCTCTTATTCTTGGGCCCCTATCGCAGGTGGCTAGGTGGTGTGGGTGTAGCCACCAGTCCTCAGGCCCCTGATGTGGGTAGGTGAAGACCCTGCTTAATGGGCAGTGTCAAATGTCAAGAACCTGCCACTTCACAGCTCAGTTGGAGTCAGAGTTCCAGTATATACTCTGTTGTACTGCAGTAATGAAGGCCTATGCTGTTGAGATGGGCCCACACAAGTCTATGCAGGGGGAAAGGCACTCAAAGTCCGTGGATCCCTTATGCCTGTTTCTAGGCAAAGAAGCTCTGCTTACCCTGGGTTCCTGGCTTAGAGGAAATGGCAGTTCTTTTCCTATTTGTTAATTTGTTCACTCTCCAAGGCTGGGAGAATGGCTTACGGCGTGTGACGGATCCTACTTCTGGCCCAGGGGACTTGGCAATTGCTGAAGCCAGTCTGGGATCCAGTGCAGAGCAGGGAGTGGGGAGGTAAATGGGAGAGAGGTTTTTCTCTAAGGGGGGTGTTTTTGATCTGCATGGTAGGCCATATGCAAGTACTTATCTTTCGTTGATCCTGGGCTGCTTCTCACTGGTTCTGGGTGGCCAAGTACTCTCTGGCCCTGTGTCTCTCCTGGTGTGGAAAATGCGCCTCCCAAGCACGGCTGCTTGCATGCCTCACTGCTCACTCATGAGCTGATCAGGCCTGAAGGGCTCAGGCTCTTGCCAGGTCAGGTCTGGCAACTCTTCGCTGCTTCCAAACCGTCTCTCCCTCCCCCTGCCACTCAGTCTGTTTCCTCAACTCTGCCTGAGATGTTCAGGGCTCCCAGATTGTCATATATAATTGATTCACTTGTTTTTTTCGTCTTTGTTGTAAGAGGGTCCACCGGAAGCGTCTGACTACTCCGCCGTCTTGGCTTCAATCTATCTTTTTGGGGGACACAGCTCAATCCGTAACAGCACTTTTTTGGAGAGGTCTAAAAATAAATAATTCTATGTAGCAGCAAGAATTAAAAAGAAAAAAGTTACATCTTTTGAATTTTTGTATTTGTTATTATTCAGGGAAAGTACAAAATTTTAAATGTGCGGAGACTACAAACCTTGTTTTTAAAAAAAATCACTGCCTACATTTTAACAAATGGGTGAAATCTACTCATTCAAAAATGTGCCCTGGTTGAGTGCTCCAAATTCTGATTGGAAAACAGACTGTAATGAAAGGTTAGCGCTACCTTTTTGTTTATGTGTGTGTGAGCATACATCTTAAAATAGTTATTTAAATTTTTTAACTACAGGTAGTTACTGACTTAAGACAGGGTTCCACTACAACTGTTGGAAGTCGATTCTGATGTAAGTCGAATACCTCTTTTTTTTTTTTTAAAGTTTTCATTATTATTGCCTTTTATTATCAGTATCTTTATAGATTTGATCTTTGAACATCTGCGAGTGAACTTCTGAGGATGATAACATCAGCAAATTATATGCTGCAACACTGTATGTAGTACGTGTTACTAATGTTAAGATATACACACAAAAAAAGACGGTCGTAAGTACAGTTTGTCATAACGAGTATGTTGTAAGAGTCGGGGTCTACTTATATACAAATAATACATTTTTAATACAGAAAAACTGGAAGATACAGATAAGCAATGCCTTATCTATATCCTTCCAGATTTCTTCTTTTGGACATATATACATATGTATATTTTGTTATAGGAATTCTTGCTGCCCCCAAAACCCTCAAAAACAAAACCAAACAGTAAAAATAATGTTAGTCTGGTCTTAACTGTAACCCAGGTGCTAATTTATGTTATATGTAAATCTATGTACATTCATTTCAACTCTTAAAACCTAAAAAAATAACACCAAATGATTCTACTTTAAATAGCAGCAGAACAACTCAGAACATGATTCAGGCATCTGCAGATAAAGGGCCAAGTACAGTCACGCGTTGCTTAACGACCACTACACATTCTGGCCATTATGTGACCTGGATGCTGTGTGAACACTGTATATTATACCCAGGCATTCCTCAGGTTATGGGCCCAGCCCTGCCCACTGTTCCACCCCGAGGAGCAGGAGCAGCCCAGGCCCAGTATCCTCCGCCACCACCTGCCCACCAGACTTGTCCGAGAACTATATTAACTGGATACAGGAGGCCGCCTTGCCAGGTGTGTGGCCGTGGGCTGGGCTGGGGCTGTGCCAGCAGCCAGACTGGGACTTTGTGAACTTCTGGGCACAGGGTGGGGACTGGGTGTGCAGGTGCCAGGAAGCATGGCTGCCGCTGCCCTGTTGGTGAGGCCACTTTCTGACCATGTGTAGCCGCCTGGAGCCAGGAGCCCGTAAGCACCCAGGCCTGGCCGGCATACCCGCCAGTGCCTGCGGCAGGAGCTGAGGAGCTGTGGGAGGCACTGCCCTGTGCAGGAGTGAACAACTGCACAGCTGCTGGACTGGTGAATGAAGCCGGGAGGAGGGGAAAGAGGAGAAGACAGAGGAGGAGGTGCTGCAGGGATGGGGCTGCACCCTGGAGCCCCACTGCTCATTCATTCTGGGGGTTTAGGGTCTTTAAAATCATTAGGGGGAAATAACAAACAAAGGGTGAGCAGCTTTCCCTTAAAAAACAAAACAAAAAAAAAACAACCTTATGGGACCATGGACATATATACGGTTGGACGTTGCCCGAATGGATGTGATGCGGTGCATGACCGTAGTATTTTTTTCCATTAAAATAAGTAGCTTTCTACTACTGCATCCTTCGAAGAGAAGAATGTTCTGTGGGTTCAGCCACAAACTCTTCACATGTATACAGTTACTTTTTCATAAAATCTTCATTCATTCTGGCGTTCTTGAAAATATTCATCAAACACAGAAGATGACTCGTCTTCATGTTCCTGACCCAAGGGGAACAAAATAGAAAATGCATTCATTTCCCCTCAGGTAGACCTGGTATGTGTTGACATATTTTCCCAGTAATACTCTCTAATGAGCTAACACCCAACAGCCGCTCTGGGTGTTGCTTACAGGTAATAGCTAATAGTAACAAAAGGCATGATTGATAGGATTTTTCCAGGTATGTGGTAAATTAAAGTGCTTATACCTCACTGGAAGCATTTCTCACTTGAGTTGACAACCATCAACACTGCTTCTCAGCTAACTGGCTGACGACCATCAGTCTTTCCACCGATCTATGTGAGGGCAGCCCAAGCTCAACTGGATTTCCTTCATCTTTGCAAACCCCCCAGACTCCAATTACAGAGACTTAAGTCAATGATACTGCCTCAACAAAAGGTTGAGTCAAACTGATCCGACTGTTGAGCACAGGTGTCCATTTCAGAGCTCACCTAGAAAAGCCCAGGGCACCGCTACCTCTCAGACAAAAATGAATTTGAGTTGTCTGAGTTTTGCAGGAGGCCACTGAGCGTCGGCAACCATTTCCACCAAAAGCTATCAAACACCCCAAACTTTGAAATTACCTTTGGTTCTTTAAATTCCAAGTCTTCTCCATACTGAATGGCAAAATCAATATGCTGTAATACAATGTTCATGCTTTCTTCATCTGACTGGTCATAAGGTAAAAATCGCACCATGCTGTAGTCGTCAATCTGCCAAGGTGGGGATTTCAGAAAGATTCATTCTGAAGCTGTGTAAAATACATCATTTTCAACCTATATTTGAGCTTTATAACCTTTTGTACTTCTGATTACAAATGTGTGCGGGAAAGAGGCAAGGGAGATAGTTGGAAAGAACACCAGCAAATCTGATTGATTTTTCTGACCTCTGACCTACTAGAACACTGTTAGCTTATTACTTAACTGGTCACTTTCGGCTTCATGGGTACTTATCTGGTTTCTTCAACCACTAGAAATTTCAAAGGGGCATGAACAGTTCTAAAATCCCCCAATGGCTTGGAATACTAGACACGTCAGTTAATTTACTGGCCACCGCCTATAACTACTTCTAGTTTAAACTGCTGCCCAGACAGCCCGCAGTACCTGACCAATCTCAGTGGGTTGACTGTGCTTTTCGTAAGAGTGACCACTGACTGGATGACCTGGGGTTAGAATCCACAGATATGTTAGCAAATTTGATGCCTAGGGCTTTGACCAAAGAAAGCCTGTTGGAGTCTATTAAATGTACTCTCTCTGGAGTTTGACCTGAGAGACAAAGAGAAAGTAGCCGACTGGTACTGGACACTAGAGATGTGAAGTCATGGAGCAGCTGCAGTCGTCCGCACGATGACTCAGAAGTTGCTCGAGGATGTGGCCAGACCGGTGTCTTAGGCAGGAACACGCAGAGGGGTGCTGAGAAATGGAGACGGTGGCCCTGGTTTCTGACCTGGTGCTCCCACCTTGATTTCCAAGAAGGCTCGACTGTGCTCTCTGCCCTTCTGTTCTGTGGAAATCTCTGTATTGTGATATTGCCACATTCCCCACTTCATCCTCACCCCCTGCTCTATCAAGAAACCAGGAAAACGTCAACATTCAGTACCAGTCATGCTAGATACAAAATCTACATGTTAATGGTATGCTGTATAACTCCTTTAGAGAGCAGACATATATATTTAAGATTGTTTGCAGAAGCTCACAGAAGCGGAACACGTAAGGTGAAGTTACTGTTGCTGTGGAAATTCCAGTCAACATGCTTTTATCTCAACCAGTCCCATTAAGAGTCCAGACTCCTTATGGGACATAAAATGATACTCATGAATACAGTGCTTCTTAGCTCAAGTAGATACATGAGACTTAACGGGCAGCTCCTGTCTGGAGGTGAGATGAGAAGGCAGAGAGGGTCAGGGGTGGAAAGGAGGAGTGTGCTGTCACAGTATAGGGAGAGCAATCAGGGTCACATAACAATGTATGTGTAAATTTTTGTATGAGAGACTAACTTGAATTGTAAACTTTCACTTAAAGTATGACAATAAAATAAAAAAATAAAAATAAAAGAGTTCAGAGTCCTGGCTCTGTGTCAGTCAGGAGCCCTTCCCTGAACCTGTCTGTGCTCTGACTTGCTGGCCTTAGGCCCATACCTGTCTCTGGAATTGGGGGATCAGCACCACTTAAACCTCACAGACTGAGAATTGTGGGAAGGGGGTGTTTCCTGGGGGAAATATAAGACTGTTGCGAGTAGCAGGAGGAATCGGCTGACAAGCACCTGTGTTCACTACTGTTGCTCTGCCAAATGAAACCAAACCCGCGGCCGTCAAGTCGATTCTGACTCACAGCAACCCTATAGGACAGAGTAGATCTGCCCCATAGGGTTTCCAAGGTTGTAATCTTCATAGAAGCAGACTGCCACATCTTTCTCCTGCAGAATGGCTGGTGACCTTTCAGTTAGCAGCTGAGCACTTAACCACTGCACCTCCAACGCTCCTTATTAGGGAAAGACAGGCTCTGACCATGTGGCCCATTTTCTAAAACCAGAAACCAAACCAGCTGCCACTGAGTTGATTCGGACTCATAGCAATCCCATGTGTGTCAGCAGAACTATGCTCCATATGGTTTCCAATGGCTGATTTTGTGGAAGTGGATCACCAGGCTTTTCTTCCGAGGTACCTCTGGGTGGACTCAAATCTCCAACCTTTCAGTTATCAGCCCAATGCATTAACCATTTACACCACTCGGGGACTCTCTAAACATCTGAGGACAGTTAAAAATCCTAGTGTTCATTTTCTCAACTATTACAAAATCAAACTGAGCTAAGCATGAAAGCTAATGTAGCATTAAAGCTAAATGCTGACTCTAAAATAGTTAACAAATTCTGAGAAAGTTCTGTGTGCTGTTGGTTCTAACAACTACGGTGTGATCCATCTCTCCCTGGCGCGCAGGACATCCTCCACACCAAGAGCTGTTTTGGTGGGTAAGAAGACATGACAAAGAACACAAGGGGACAGCCATATGACTCTTCTCAAAACACATAAAACTGCTTATCTAGTTCCTCTTTACTGTATGAGCTAGAAATTTTGAGAAAGAATCCAGGTCATTAAAAATATTCTACAAACTTACCAGTCCACATATAGCTTTAGTCAATTCTTTGAATTTTTTGCTTCTTAAGTCACTTGTACAATCATCCAACAAAGAATACACATCTGGATCTAGAAACCTTTAAAAGTGGGAAGAAAACTGTCGATAATAAAGGAGAAATAGAGCAGGAAACTAATTTATAGACAACAGAACCTCAGAACCTCATGTCTAAATAAAACTTGGGAGGTTTATCTCTGCAACTGAGCTCTGATGGTAACAGATAGATGATGTTATAGATTTTGAATTTCTGTCCCTCGAAAATATGTGTTGTAAATCCTAACCCTACACCTGTGTTTATAATCTCATCTGTGAATGGGTTTTCTTTGTTATGTTAATGGAGCAGGATTAGTGTAGGGTGTGTCTTAAATCAATCTCTTTTGAGATATAAAAGAGCAGAATGAGCAAACAACCAAGCAAGCAAGCACAGATAGAGGAAGACAGTTGCCAGGTCATATGAGATCTCCAAGGAACCAAGAAACAGAAGCTGAAAAGACACAAGGACCTTCCCCCAGAACCGAAAGAGAGAATGCCCTCCCCTAGAGCTGGTGCCCTGAATTCGGACTTCTAGCCTCCTAAACTGTGAGAAAATAAATTTCTGTTTGTTAAAGTCATCTACTTATTTCTGTTATAGTAGCACTAGGTAACTAAAACAGATGGTGTTAAGAACTCACTTCTCAATTTCCTTTTTAGCTTTCTTACTTAGCAGATCCATTTTCGTCATGATGTTAACTTGCGGAATTTCTAGAGAGATCATTGCACTCAGGGCTGCCATGACACCAGAGAGAAACTGAAGGAGGAAACAGAAGAGAGAAAATGAATTAACTGTGCCGACAAAGTTCCTGGTCTCTGCGTAAAAGAAGGCTTCTGCTCCTAATTGAAACAAAATTGGCCTAAATAAGAGAAAGGCTAATGTTATAGAAAAAGAGACAGTTCACTCGTCAGATGGTTGACTCTTGGCTCCTTAAGGCAAGGATGAGAAAGGATGATGTGGATTTACTCTACAGTGATCACAAAACTCAATTCAGACAGTATCTTATCTTCAGCCTCCTTCCCACTGAATATTCTTCAAGGGCGATTTATAAGAAATAAAATTGGTTGCATGTAAGCAAATAAATATTCACACTTCAGATCATCCATGAACTGGGCGTGAGGCTCTCAGCTAATGAAAAATACACTTATAAATATATATCTGCCTCATTCTTGATAGGTAGCTTCTCAAAATCAATATGACTTTATCATAATATTTTACAGTTTTATTGAGTTATAAAATGTATTATCATCATTTAATAATAATAAGCAAAATCAGTTGCCCTTGAGTCATCTCTGACTCATGGCGACCCCAAGTGTGTCAGAGTAGAGCCATGTTCCACAGGGTTTTCAATGGCTGATTTTTCAGAAGTAGACTGCCAGGCCTTTCTTCCGAGGTGCCTCCGGTTGGACTTGAACCCCCAATCTTTTGGTTAACAGCTGAGCATGTTAACCATTTGCACCAGCCAGGGACTCCATCAATAAGGTGTACTAAATAACTCTGGAATGTTCAGAATCATAATGAGTAAAAGATACTCTCTTCTGCCTGTATCCTTGACTTAAAAATTTACAGTGGATTATCCTCATACCTTGAATGACTCCACCATGAACTGAGAATCAACAAGAAAAACCCCGCAGACTCGGAACTCCCACTGTTCTAGCTGCTGAATCAGCTGTTTCATCACAGGCAGGTGAGTGTACAACTCAATCTGACCTACACCAAGAGGAGTACAAGACGACAAGCAGGAAGTGTGTTAAACCATCACATTTAGAGGAAACAAGTTTTTCCCAGAAGATCTTAAAAACAAAAACACCTGGTAGTAATATCTTGGAATTCTCAAGGGGCCTCACAACCTCTCAAAGCAATCATAAAACCTAAGGTACTGCCACCATGGGACTCCCAAGCAAACTATCCTGTTTTACGCAGAAAATGGGCTTCGTCACTCTTTAGTTTTCTGCTGATCAAAAGAGTGCCACAAAGGAGCGTGTAATTTGGGAAGATTCCTCAAGCTGCATACTTATGATATGTGTACTTTTCTGTAGGCATGTTCAATAAATAGCAAGAAAGAAACGTGGGGGTCACAGATAATCATAGCGAGGTTAGGCTCAAGTCTAAAATTCACAAGATGGTTTAAGAAGCCCAGTGTGATTATCTATCCCTTACCAGCCTCACCTCCCGACGTTTTCCTCTTTGGTTACCATGCTCCATATACTGGCCTTTTCAGTCCCTCCAACCCACCTTGTTCTTTCCTCCCTCAAGGTCCTCAGCATGTTGTGCCTTCTGCCTGGGCCACTCTTCCCTCACCTTCACCTCATGGCTCAGCTCAAAGACCATTTGATCAGAAGCCTTCCCTGACCTTCTTTCTACTCCTGTGGGGTACCTGTCCTACAACCATGCATTAAATAATTATTTGGGTGATTTCTGTTTATACCAGCTGGTACTCCTGGACTTGAGCTCCAGCAGGGCAGAGACCAGGCCTACCTTGCCCTCTGTTCTATTCCCAGTGTTTCAAGTCAGCACTCAGCAAACTCAGTGAATGAATCAAAGCCCATGAATAAGTCTTGACCTTACTACAGCAGAGTTTAAACTACAAATGCTCACTCCACTTATCCCAGTTGAGGATGGAAGTACCACGACTTCAAGGAAAATGGCACATTCAAATTACTGACTTACCTGGGCAATCAAAAAGGATGTAGTCGTCCTCGACATGACCCAGACAGTTCTCGAGCCAGTCAAAATTATTAGCAAAGTACTCCATGCAAAATACCAATCCTCCATTGGGACCAAACCGTAGGGAGTCATCCTCCATCACATCATCCACCTCGATCAGTTCCCGGATGTCTGCAAAGGAACGACAGGGCCCAGAATATTAAAACCTCCATCCAAAACTTACTATCCTTACTAGTAAGAATTACCTACTACATAAAAAACTCCCATGTATGAAATTACTTATGTACATGGTTACTCATTGTAGTGGTGTCACCGATAGGGAACGAATGAAGTACTGGTATAATACAATCTCCCAGGTATACTGTTAACTGAAAAATAGAAGGAAGGTGCAGAATTCTCTAAGTATGCCCTCATTAGTGTTAAAGAAAAAAAAAAAAAGAAAGATGATGAAAATTCACTACATATACATAACACATTGTCATGGATTGAATTATGTCCCCCCAAAAATGTATGTATCAATTTGGCTGGGCCATGATTCCAGGTATTGTGTGATTTTCCTATATGGCATTGTGTGATCTTCCTATATGTTGTAACTCCTGTCTCTATGATGTTATTGAGGGAGGATGGGCGGCAGCTGTGTTAATGAGGCAGGACTCAATCTACAAGATTGGATTGTGTCTTGAGGCAATCTCTTGAAAGATAAAAGACACAAGGAGCAGAGAGACAGGGGGACCTCATATTACCAAGAAAGCAGTGCCAGGAGCAGAGCGCGTCCTTTGGACCTGGGGTCCCTGTGCAGAGAAGCTCCTAGTCCAAGGGAAGATTGATGAGAAGGCCGACAGAGAGAGAAAGCCTTTCCCTGGAGCTGACACCTTGAATTTGGACTTTCAGCCTTTCTTTACTGTGAGGAAATCAACTTCTCTTTGTTGAAGTCATCCACTTGTGGTATTTCTGTTATAGCAGGGAGAGAGGCTTTTTCCTACATACTCACTCTTTTGTACCTTTTGCATTTTGAACCCATGTGAATATGTATTACCTATCCCAGAAAAGTAAAACCAAACCAAACAACAACAACAAAAAACTCAACCAGCATTTAAATTTTTTTTTTTCCCAACCACCATTCTTTCACATGACCACCCCAGGGGAAGTGCTTAACCTCCCTGAGCCTCACTTTCTTATTTGTAAAATGGGGGAAATAAATCAGGTATCCTGAGGTAGAAGAATGAGGATTACATAAGATAATGTACACAAACCACCAATTTTTGTTGCTGTTGATAGCTGCTGTCGAGTTGGCTCCCAACTTATGGTAACCCCGTGCGCAATGGAACTAAATGCTGCCTGGTCCTTTGCCATCCCCACGACTGGTTGTGGATCAGACCGTTGTCATCCATAGTGTTTTCACCAGCAGATTTTCAAAAGTAGATTGCCAGGCCTTTCTCCTAGTCCATCTTAGTCTGGAAGCTCTGCTGAAACCTGTTCAGCATCACAGCAACACACAAGCCTTCACTAACAGATGGCTGGCAACTATGCATGAGGTATACTGGCTGGGAATTGAACCCAGATCTCCTGTGTGGAAGGTGAGGATTCTACCACTGAACTACCACTATCCCCAAACCACCTATTAAGGAAAAAAAAAAAAAAAACCCTTTGTCATTGAGTCGATTCCAACTCTTGATGACACCTTTAGGTTAGTAGTCGATTACAAACCATTTGCACCACCCAGGGACCTTAAACAACCTATAGCAGGGACTTAAAAAATCCTGATATATATGTGGTCGTCTTCTTTTTATTAATTTTTAGAAATCAGCACTTATAATTTTCTACCTTAGGTTTTTCTTTTGTGCTCAAACCTACAATCTCCATTCATGGAGAACTAGGCTTCATTTTTATACTACAGTGAAACCTGTGAGACTGGAACTCGACAGGACTGCCTTGTTTTACTGGGCCTCCCAAGGTTTCTGCCTTTGACAGGGTGCAGCTTAACACTTTTCTATTGCTATCTATTAGTAGATAATCTTTCAGTTTTCCTTCTCTGACAGGTTTCAGCCTTACAGAGGTTCCAGCTTTTGCAGGTTTTACTGTAATAACATCTTCCTAGGCCCTCTCCCAGGGATAAACAACTGCCCTAAGTTGGAACAATAAAACTGGTCTCCTAAAAGGATGAACCCAGGACACTAGTGAGTCTGTAAGACGCTTGGACCAGAGAGTGATGTGAATTTCAAGTTGGGGAGACCCTGTTGGGCCATATGCATCCCCAAGAAAGCCAGTCTGCAAGTGGGATAAGAAGACTGAGAGACAGACAGAAAGCCTGCCCAAACATCTCTTCCTCAGAGACATCATTCCTGCTCACCCTGCCTAAAGCAGCCTCCTCCAGTTATTCGCCATCACCCTGCTTGTGGTCCTTAACACAAATGTGCAATATGTTTATCATTTTGTGTACTGCCTATCTCCCCGACGAAAAGGTTCATGAGGCAGGGGTAGTATTGTCTTGTTCTCTGCTATAACTCTGGTGTCTGGTATAAAGTAGACATTCAAGAGATATTTGAATGAATAAATTAAACCAAAAAAAAATTGGTTTAAACCCCAAATGCCTAGGCTGCTCACTTATAGCGTGATCAGCAGTATACCAGATTCACTACAGCAGGACTAAGCATTACAGGGAGAGAAGGGAAGGGTGACGATGGAAGAGTTTACTCACTTTCAATTCTTTCCTCAAGGACCAAGACAGAACATCATGAGTGGATGTCACTAAGCGACATTCTGCCTTTCCAGTTCACCATGTGCGCTGAAATCATATTTTGATTGTAATAACTAATTTCTCAGTTTCCCTTCTAAACAGCCAGCATTTACTCTGCCTGACCTCCTCCATTTTCCCTGGAAGGGGGAAAGGACTCTGCTTAGGACTCACCAGCCATCACGGAGTAGCTAAAGTGCTCTGCAGCAGGATCTAGGTTCACAACTTGGACAGACCGATTGAGGGCTTCACAGTGCTGGACCATGGTGGCACAGTAGGTGCTCTGTAATGTCACAAGGCCAGAGGAGTTAGAGAAGAGGGTAGGGATACCCCTATCCCCTAGAAGGATTCTCCAATCCTTTGGGGCAGTATCCACTAACGCCAAAATCAACCAAGGTCTGAGAAACACTGACAGAAGAGACCCTGCTTGAATCTCCTGCGAAGAAGGCAGGGCCTGAGAGCAGTACGGTTCTGGAGTTGGACCAAACTGAGTTCAAATTCCAGCCATCGTTTACTAGCTCAGTGATCTTGGACAAAGCACTTTATCTTTCTGTGCCTTTTTTTACTTCTCTGTAAAGTAAAAATAGGACCAACCTCAAAGGATTGTTGTGGGAAATCAATGAGGCGTTTAGCGCAATCTCTGGGGCAAAAGTATCCGATAAATACTAGCAATTATTGTTACTTCCCTTTCAAAAGAATGAAAGAGGGCAGAAGCGAGTTGCCCAGGTTCCCACTACATACACCCGCCGCCCCATACCTCAGGACCCGAACCCCCAGCGCCCCACGAACTCCGATTTTTCTCTCCTTCAAATCCTCACCTTCCCGCTGCCTGCGGGGCCCATGACCAACTGCGCATACCGCGGCATACCGACCCTCAGATTCCCAGCACCGCCCGCAACACTACCAAGAGCGGGACCAAAACGCTCCCCTCAGCCTTCGCGCGACGCCCACTGAGTTCCGGGAACACGACGTGCAAACCAATCACAATCCAAGTTCCTTTCTGCGTCTCCCGTTCTGCCACACCTTTCACTACGGAGAGGCCCGCGGGCCAAATCTCGTGTAAAACGCGTCCTGAGGAAACGCCTGAAACGATGAAGTACACTCTGGAGCTTGCGCGTGCGCAGAAGCAGTTGTGAAAATCGACGGTTGAGATACAGGCGAAGCCTGGTTGCCTAGGTGATAACGGATAACGGATAACGCTCAGCATCCTTGCGCCAGATGCTTTGGTTCTTGGTTACCGTACGAATGTTTGGTCTAGATGGCGACACCCAAAATTTGCAAATTTTCTTAGGGCCTGGAATACCGAGGTGGAGGGCGCCTCTTGTTTTAAGGAGCATGTATAGTTCCTTCCCGTGACGCATCCCTTGCACAGAAAAGATGCAAACGTGCAAAAGCGCGATCAACTGAGAAACCTCGTCCCCTCCCCCACTGTAGCTCCAGGATCGGGATTTGCCCTCCCCGCTCTCCCGAAGCTCTTCGGGCAGTGTACGGCCCGCATCGGAGGGGGCGAGACTCTCGCGTCCGCCTCTTCACCCCAATATCTCCCCGCCTGACGCACGAGTGCTGAGGGGAGGGGAAGGGACGGCTGCTCTCGCACACGGCTCGCGGTCCGGTCACCGGAGAGGAGATGCCAGGCCCAGGGCCAGTGTCCGACTGGACCGAGTGCAGTTCTTCCGCAGAGCCGTCCGCAGCAGCGCGGACCGAGGGTGGCGGCGGCGGGTGAGGCTTCCGGGACCTTGGGGCTTGGAGGGCACCGCGAACAGCCCCGGGCTGTGGTTCCCCGCTGGAGGAAGGGTGGGAGCGGGCTGCTCCGCGAGTGGACTGGTCCCCAGTGCAATGAAGTGAGAGGAGGGGAAACGTTTGTTGGGGTCGGGATGGGAACACGGGGACTGACCTGCTCACTGTGTAGGGGAAGGGCTTCTGAGGGAAGCTTTTGGGGAGGGTTTGGTGCAGTGATTAAAGGCGGCGACTGCGACAGTCGCCCACGTGCACGTTTCCGCCCCGAGGGGGCGCTACGAAACCTGCTGAATAAATTGCCGTCTGACCACAGTAGCTCTATTTAAAGGTGAGGACAGTGTAGGGAGAAAACGTGCCCAGGCTCCATATTTGGAGGGCTTCCAAGTCAATAAACCGGAGCCGTGTGTGTGTCAAACTGGAGTTCATAATCGCCAAGGAGACATGACTATTAATATTAGAGGCACCTTGATCTTGACATTTTCTTCACAATGAAGTGCCTTTCCTCATAAATACATTTCATTTTGAGCACGTTTTTACTATTTCCTGGATGGCGAAGACAGCTGCTTAAGTCACTGCTGGAGTCCTCTGCTCTTATCCCTCCTTATCCCTTCCCACCATTATTCCCTAAGAGCTGTGGGCTTTTTGCTGCCCAATTCAGCCCAGTCATGGCTCCTGCTGCAATCACTGCCATCTTTTTTTTTTTTTAAATATCTGGTGATTGAAGACCTCTTAAAGTTGGGATGAGGTCGTGTGTTTCTTTCCTGTTCTTCACAGTGCTTGAGAAATTGCTGGATCCTAAACATATCAGGGAATCAATAAACCCTTGGTCATTGAGTAAATTGTGGGAAGAGAGAAGGAAGGGTGTTTTGACTTAATCTGAGAAAACAAAAAAAAAAAGAACTTGTACAGAATTAGAGACATTCTAATTCTGAATTAGAGCACATCTTAATTAATAAGATAGTCTTTTCAATATCCAAATTAATTTATTTAGAACAGAGCAAGAAAATGCCTCGTGATTAGCATAGGAGCCCACACTACTTTATTGAGCTCATTGTAGGAATTACATTAGAAGACTCTAAAAGTAAAACCAAATCTGGCTTAAAGTAAATCCTTTCTATTATAGTAAAAATCTCAGATAAGTCACTTTCAAAAAGCCTGGAGCTAGTAGGATCTAACAAGAATTACAAGAAAACCTTTACAAGACATCATGTCTGCTGCAAACATGAAAAGTAAAAGCCATATGCAATACTGCCCCTTTTTCATTTTAAATATCTTTTTATTGCTTATAAAGCTGTCCATTATTATATCATTTACACCCCCCCTTCTTTTGAAACAGATCAGCACGACATTCTTATCACCAGAATTCCAAAGGTACAGGTGAGTATTGTATATAAAGCAGGTAATACCTATAAATAACGTGGTTCAGAGAAGCCAATATGCCTGTGACTACCTACACAATGGAGTTTTAAAAATAGACTTTATTAGCATAGCTGGTGAACTAAGTCTTTAAGATTTTCAAGGAACAATCCAGCAGGTTCTTTCTCTCCTGTTAATATCACATCAAGCATTTTAAAAAACGTATTTCAAAATTAGCAATGAGTTGAAAAGAGCTACCTTTATAACTGATGTTGGTTGAAAAGCACAGAACATAGCCTGGGGTTTAAACACAGATTAAAGAAAAAATTCTAAATATAACAGCTTTAAAGAACATAAAATATTTCCCAATGCTGATATTTTCCTCTCACTTGAAGTAAATGATAGTGCTTTTAAAGTACCCACCTCTTTTCTGCCTCGAGTTAATAGAGTAAGACAGGCCTTCAAAGACCTCTTAGTAATTGCTTTTTTGAGGCGGGGGAAGGGAGGTGAAATTTACTGATCTCAGAATACATATTTTTTAAAAAGCACAGTAGTTGTATCTCATCTTAATCCAACTATATATAAACTTGGACTCACATTTGCCTTTCCTTGGAGAATTTACAGCCCTTATAGTTACCTAGGGAAAAAAAATGTACACGTATATGTATGCTGTGTGTGTGTGTATGTATGTATGTTTATATAAAATATAGTCATTTTTCTTGTGTTTAATTTTGGTCTCATTAATTTAGTTTCCTACCTAATCAAAATTCTTAGTGAATTAGAGTTAAATGTAAAATAGAAACAAAACACAAACCAAAAACAAAATTAATAGTTTCTCATCCCAGATGTGGAGGAAAATAATTTGTCTGAAGAAGAAATTTTAACAATTATCAGTAGATGGAGTAAATTGATTCAGTTATATGAAAGCAAAATTTCTAAACATCAAAACAAAAATGAAAAGTTTGTATACTGTAGAACCCTACTCATATTAAAAACAACACGCATATATGCCTAGAAAAAACTCTGAAATGTAATATTTCAAAAAGTTTTTAAACGATTACTACTGGATGGTGGGATTAAAGAACATTTTTACTTTGTTTTTTTATATTTAGTATATTTCACAAATCTACAATGAAAGTTATTACAGTTATAATCAGGAGGAAAAGGCTAATACTTAACAAAATGACTTATTATTCCCCTTTGCATTTGGAATTAAGGTCTTACCCTATTTAATATAAACACTACAGTCAACTCTTAGCAGGGAATCTAGATATTATTTTGAATCTAATTTAACAGAACGAAAATTTGGCAGCCTTTAAGACAATGAGCAAAACTCATTTTTCAACTAGATTTACTTCGACTTTACAACCACTCTAACAATAAACTAAAACCAAAACCCATTGCCGTCAAGTCGATTCCAACTCATAGCGACCCTACAGGACAGAGTGGAACTGCCCCATAGGGTTTCCAAGGAGCGGCTGGTGGATTCCAACTGCCTACCTTTTGGTTAGCAGCCATAGTGCTTAACCACTGTGCTACCAGGACTCTGTAACAATAAACTGCTTTCCTATAGTAACATAAGACAGTTCATTAAAATCAGCAACTTAATTTTTTAATTTTGACTTACAGATTTACAGAAAAGTTGTGAGAAAAGTACACAGAATTCCAGGATTCCTTCACTCAGATTCCCCCAAATGTTAACTACATTTGCTTTTTGTCTCTCTGTGTGGATGTGTGTGTCTGTGTCTCCATACCCATACACGTCGATATCCATTTCTGTATATCTACCTAGTATTTATATTAAAACTCATGAGTTCACACTGATTGCTCCAATTCCAAGCCAACAAGCAGAGTTTATTCTGTGCTTTCCCCTTTCCATATTAATAGGTAGCTCCCTTCTCCAACAGCGTGAAATCTGGCTCCCACCAACCACAACATATTTACTCATTTGCTCAGTCCTAAAATGTATAACAAATAGCTTCAGAATTGCTAACCCATGCCTTTGCAAAAAAAAAAAGTCTAGTAAAAAGTTCAGTATTTGCTTAGAGTTCTTTTTGTCTGAGAGCATATAGTTTAAGTAATGTATTTAAGTTACCTGGGTTAGTTAACAATTGTTAAGTGTTTCATTTTCTGTAAAGAAACTGCTGTCAGTCTTTGGACGAATTAAATTTGAGTCCAGGCTAGAATATACATCTCAGAAATATGGCTTAGCAGGGACACAAAAAATATATTTTTTAGATAATTAGCTCACGATTATGATTTTGCACGTGGATGTTTTAAAAATAAACTTTTAAAAATGTTATACTGGTATTCATTCTATTATTACAGATTTGAAATCATGTTTCAAGGGTCATAATAACACAATTTCTAGGTAATTTTCCATTGTTAGCAAACAAACTAATTAGACCTCCAGCATGTAAATATAACTCTTACTTACCTGCACTAACTATATAGTTTGCAAAAATTTGAAGAAATAATTAAATTTCAAGTTTAAAATACAAATTTACAGTGGCTTTTGTTATTAACAATATTGAAACAAAACTATGCTTATTTAATTCAGTTTACTAACTACAAACTTTTAACTTAAAATCTGTTCTGCCAGTTTTATTTGTAATAGTCAAACACTAGAAAAACCCAAATGTCCATGAACAGGTGGATGGAAAATTAAACTGAGGTACACATACAATGGAATACTACCCAGCATTAAAAAAGAATAAACTATTATTATATGTAACATGGATGAATCTCAAAATAATTATGCTGAGAGAAAGAAGCCAGACAAAAAAAGTACATACTATATGATCCATTTATATAAAACTCAAGAAAATGCAATCTATAGTGACAGAAAGTGCATCAGTGGCTGCGTGAAGAGAAGAGTATTTATAAAGGGGCATTTTCTCATTAAATTTTGCTGGATGTCATCTTCCCCAAAGCGAAGTTTTTACCCTAGATTAAGTGTCTGTTCTCAGTATGCTTGAAACGGAAAACTAGTTTCTCTTCTTCTGGGAATAGAGCTCAACTTTTATTTTTATTAAAAGGCTATTCTTTTATTCTGCCCCCAGTATTAAAAGCAATGATATAACTGAAACTATGTAAAAATAAGTTTTAATAAACTTATGCATCATTAAAGGGATAAAATTTGTGTTATTCTGTCTTGAGACCAATACAAGGAAATCCACCTAAAATTAATTCTTTCAGGTGTGCTATTTCTAAGATAAATGTGTGTGAGGTATGATATAGTGGCATGGTATATCCTGACTGGTATTTAATATTAATGCTTCCATTCTCTAGTGAACATAATTTTAAAACTACATACAAAACTCAAATATGAATGATTAAATAATATTGTTGTAAATCTTTAAAGCACAAATCCTGCATATAGATTCCTCTTTAGCATACTTCTGACATGTAACTAAGAAACTTAGTTACTGTCAACAGTTTGCAGCTCAGCTAAGTTCAAAATGTAGTCCATATATAATTTAACAAAAGGAATCAGCTTTGCCACCTTTGAATCACTTTGAATAAAAATTAGTTTAATATTGCCTAGGAGATGTTTATGAATATCTTAAAAAAGTTTGTGTAATCTAAAAACAAATGACATAAGTAGCTTTAAATTTAACAATCTGATGCAAAAATACTCATCATAATATCCGTAATAATCATTGGTACATGTAAATATATAGATCTTTTTAATAATCTGTTGAACTGATCTTTGCTCATGAAATTCACGATTATGTCCTTGCCTACAGATAGAATCAAAGATGGACACAAAGTGGACTCACACACAGCCAAACTGCTAGATTTATGGAAAACTCCTCAAATTCAAACAATTCACATCCCTAAATCAATGAAGGATGCATCCTTTCTAAAGGTATGCTAACAAAAAAAATGGAAAATAAGCTACTTAAAGGGTAAGGCACTACAGATAACAAGGTATTCCCAGCATATTGTCTAGGAATCAGTCAATATCTGTTGGGTAAACTCATGAATGATTGTAAGCATTTTATCATTATACAGTCCTTATCTTAAGAATTCTTTCAGGGCTTTATGAGACTTGAGATCTAATGTACCTTTATTCTGGAAGCTTAGTGCCCCAAGCACAAAGATGTTTAAAGAAAGTACCATCCTAGAGCTGGAAACCCAGCCTCATAAAGATTTCACTCAAAGACTGAAAAATTAGAAGTAGATTAAAAAAAAAAAAGGCAATAAGTAAGCATTTTACAACTGTTGACCCGCACTACTCATTAAAGATCATAGCTGCCAGAAGTATTATCTCTAACATAATGTGAATTGGTTACTAAAGATCTGTGCAAACTGGCAAATTTTTCTGATTAACATTTTGAATCTTCTCTGGGTTTATTACCTATTTAAGTCAGTAAATCCTATGCGTGCACACATACACATATATACACACAGAGTGGAGTTTTGCATTTGAAGTAAACGTTAACTTCTAAAATCAGCAAGTAAGGTGAAATGCTCAGTCAAAATTACCTATATTGGAGACCCCCATGCTGTTTCTCAGCATGCCCAACATAGCCAGTTATTCTTTCGGTGCTGGAAAGATTTTTAGTTGAGATGAAGCAGAGTAATTGGGTTGCTTTTAAGTACCATGTTATACTTAAAAAAAAAGAAAAAAACTTAAATACTAGAACCATTTGAGAAGGCAGGACGCCCACACTGAGAGGCACATGAGAGCTGATATAGAACAGTGGATTCACATCCTCCTTGTTTCTCTAGGGCAGTGGTTCTCGAGCCTGGGAGCACATGTGGACCACTTGAGTGGAATGGCAAGCACAAGCACTTGCACTGCTGAAATGGCCATTTCTCTTTCTCTCTTTTTGGCCAAGCTAACATAGTTTAATTTGCATAAGTTAAATGTACATATGGTGAAACTCCACTGAATACATTCATTCTTTCAGATAATGAATGTTGCCAACTTCTGTTCTATAATGCAGACTAAATCCCTTTATTTATTTCTGTGTTTCAGCATCCTGACCTTACCATAGGCCAAAAGCGCTATCTGTGCAGCATTGCTAAGTTATATAACGCCAACTATCTGAGAACATTAATGAAGAGACAGTACATGCATGTGATTCAGCACAGCTCCCAGAAGCCAGGCAGGTGTACCTCCAGTGAGTTTCTCACCAGTTCTCCCAAGAGATGGGGGGTCCTGCTAACAGATGATTTGTATGACAGGTGTCCTCACTCATCACAGGAGTCGCCTCAGCTCGCCTTACTCCCAGAAACAGCATTACCCCTGCACCACATGGCGACACCAATTGGAGAGAGAGGACTCGGGGCCTTCCAACATTACTGCTGCCTGCACCCCTGAAATGATCATGCCACATTCCCTTTGGCGACCAGTGAGAAACAAAGAAGGGTCTGTTTCTTATTGTTTAAAAGGGGGGAAACATCCAATTTTATTTGAAGGGTAGTTAAATAATACTAAAGTTTGTGTTCACTTTGCTAAACTCAGAATAGATTGGACAAAAAGCACAAAAGGATGTTATCTTACTCTTCACTGAGCTGACTGGGATCTGCCACTTATTTTTGAAAATATTTTGTGGACTTGTAAACGTTTCTTTATCAGCTAGAGAGATGGAAGACTTCCCTTTTCAATATTATTCCTACTTAAATTCCAAATAATACAAACACTTCCAAAAGGAGAGAGCATATGGTTACCTCTGCACAGAGGAATATGATAAAACAAAAAAGGAAAAGGGGAAAGAGATTAAGAAGACTGAGTATTCAATCTGCACTACAGTAGTGAGCTCTGCATTTCAGGGGTAACAAGTAACAGGAGAATTTGGGGGCTGAAAGGATCTCTTTGGTGGTGCTGGCAGCTTAATTAAAAGAATCTGCATTGTTCCCCACATGGGTTAGGCAGCTGTTCACTTTGTTGGCTCCAATTAAGATACTTTCCTTTCTTATAGGTTAAAAACTGGATATGCATCTAAAACAAGATGTAAGTCGCTGAAGATTTTTAGTAGACCAAGCAGACTGTTCATGCAACCAGGTAAATGTGGAATTCAAAAAATATGCATCTGTAAAGACTTTATGCTTAAAACATATTAAAGACGGTATAGTTTCATTTTACTACCAAACCCAAAAACCAAACCTGTTGCTGTCCAGTCAGTTCCAACTCATGGCCACCCCGTGTGTGTCAGAGTAAATTGCACTCCATAGGCTTTTCAAGGTGGTAACCTTACAGAAGTAGATCGTCAGGCCTTTCTTCTGGGATGCTGCTGAGTGGATTAAACTGCCAACCTTTCAGTTAATAATAGCCAACTGCAAACTGTTTACGTGCCACCCAGGGACCTAAGTAAATTAAACATGAAATACAGGTTTTGCTTTCATTAAAAATAACACACTGCTCAGAGGAGTGAAATTCAAGGCATTTCTAATGCTAAAGATATTTACATATTCAGGTTATTGTTGGTTGTGCTTGATTGCAACTCATGGTGACTGCATACATGCAGAGTAGAACTGCTCGATAAGGTTTTCAAAGCTGTGACCTTTTGTAAGTAGACCTCCAGACCTTCCTTTCACTTAGTAGTACAGTGCTTAACCATTTAACCAGGGACACCTAATATCAAGGTTAGAGACTTAATAAAAGAATGACTTCAAGCCATAGCACTTGTGTTTGGTAGTCAACAAACCAGTGAAGGTGAGCCAAGCAGGTGATATCAAAATTTACAGATGCAACTCAAACAAATCTAAACTTGGGTAGGATCAGTGTAAAAGATTCTTCTACCACAAATATAGAATACTGCAAAATGAAAAAGACAAGAGGAAACGAGAATATTCAGAAGCGTTCCTTAGAATTGATAAAGTACAAAGGATTAAATGAAAGTTAAATAATTTCCTAAAGTTACTACCTTAGTGGATAGGGAAGTCAGGACTTAGGCCTTCTGAATTGAAATCTCAGTGCTGTGTGGCACTGCTCAGCACTGCTGTAAATACCATACTGTGCCTGTCCAGTGAGGGAAAGGATAGAGAAGGTAAAGCTAGTTCCAAAAAGCAGAGTTTAGGGGTAACGCTGGGTAGGAGAAAAGTCCCTGTGTTCTCAAAAAAATGAGGAATGGACTGAAGGGAAATGAAGAGATAACTTTAGATAGGCAACTGACCACCTTAACTCCCTCCTGAGTCTGGCTGAATCTATTGAAGGAGGTTATTGGAGTCCTGGTAGCACAGTGGTTAAGAGCTCGGCTGCTAACCAAAAGGCTGGCAGTTTGAATCCACCAGCTGCTCCTTGGAAACCCTATAGGCAGTTCTACTCTGTCCTGTAGGGTCACTGAGTCGGAATCAACTTGACAGCAACGAGTTTGCTTTTTTTTATTATGAAAATCAATTATAAAATAAGATTTAGTAACAGGGAACTTCTATACAACTTCAATAGAATACACTACTGTGTATCTTATTTTAAAAAGATTTGGGGGAGGGGAGATGATTAAAATTTTTGAAAATTGCAAGTTATCTGTTTTTGTTAAAGGCCTAATAAGCGAGGTCATTTTGAAGGTTATAATTACATGCACATCTGAATTTTCAGGATGAAACAGAATTTTATTTCCAAAACAAACAATATAAACTATTTTTTCCTTCAGTTTCTACAAATGATTCTGAATCATACACGAATGAAGAAAAAAAGGAAGAAGATTTACTAAATAAGTGTATGCAGTCAATGTCAATTGAAGAACAGGGAGAACATCTGATGTTGACTTGATATTCTTGTCCTGCATATTGAATTGAAACACCAGTTTACATGCAGATAATGTGCCAAAGGTGGGAGGAAAGGGTTGTGAATTGTGTCCTCTTTCTATGTTTAGGATAGTATTGTTATTCACCATTAAGTCATTAAGTCATTTTGGTTTGTTCAGAAACTTCTAAAGCAGTGTACTTGGCTTGATGTAGTTCACTGTGCCAATGGTATCTGTGTAGTAAAATTTATGTGTAATACATGCTTGTATTTCTAACTAGATACTATTAAAATTATTCTTGCCACTAAACTTGAATTATTTTTCAAGCCTAACAAAAGTATAATTCCTTCTTTCTCCTACAACTGCAGCATTTAGAATACAGTAGTCCTCCCTTATCCATGATTTTACTTCCTGCAGTTTCAGTTACCCACAGTCAACAGCTGTCCGCAGTGCTTGTGTTCAAGTAACCCTTATTTTACTTGATAATGGCCCCAAAGCGCAAGAGTAGTAATGCGGACAATTCGGATATGTAACAGAGAAACCATAAAGTGCTTCTATTTTATTATTAGTTATTGTTGTTATCTTTTACTGTGCCTAATTTATACATTAAACTGTATATGTGTGTATATACACACACACACACACACACACACACACACACACACACACACACACACAGGAAAAAACATAGTATATATAGAGTTTGGTACTATCCGAGGTTTCAGGCATCCAGTGCGGGTCTTGCAAAGTATCCCCCATAGATTAGGGGGGACTACTGTATTCTGCAAATATTTTTTTTATTGGTCTGAGGAAAATTCTACATCCTGATACAAAACAGCACTCGATAGAGATTAACACCCTGGCTTGCAAAGTAGGCACTCAATAAATATTTGTTGTTTGAATACAATTTTAAAATGGAAATACCAATTTGTCTTATTTTAGGAAAATTGCTACACAAACACTTGGACTGTTAAACTAGATTAAGTTGGGAGTAGTTCCACTGATGAGAAGATTCTATTATATATTCACTTATGCTTCTCTGCTAAAGTGTTTTAAAAAATACCTTATTAAACCTTGAGAAATGGGAATAAGGCAGTTAAAGCTACAGTTTAAACAATCACTGCGGGTTTCATGTGCAAATAAGTATATTATGTACAAAATAAATATTTAGAAAATAAAATCTGAGTTCAACATTATGACACAGAATCTTTTAAGAGATGAGAGCTCTGAAATGTCTTCTCATCTGCCCATCACTTGAATACTTATCTACATAGTTTCATTTGGTCTCTCATTTTTTATGGCTTTTTAAATTAAAAACAAGTTATGAAGAAAGTATAAATGGAAGATAAAAGTTTATTTCTGAATGGAGAAAAGTGTATACAAGTCTAGGTTCTTCCTCCTCATGCACTACTTTCATAGTAAAGTTCCAAGAGTCAAGTTTGAAGATATTTACCAGGATAAACTTTCTTTCAATAGCTGATCATTTACTATGTGGTGGACATTTTTTCATAGAAATCATATACTGGGAACTAAATATGTTCTTAAAGCTTACAAGAAGCTTATAGCAATTATGTATTAACAGAGAAGATATTATATTTTACTGCAAAATACTATAAAAGTGATACAATTCTGTGGCTTTAAATGTTTAATTACTTGATTTAAACGGGAATGGAAAAAAACAAAAATCATCAAGACAGGCCTAGCTTTAAGATTTTTTGTATTCGATTCGTTCTACTTTCACGTCATCTCCAATTAGCTGGTACACATAAGTGACAACTGTAGAAGCCTGGATATCCATCAACACAAATGAAGGAATAATGTTTCTGGAAGAAAAAATAATAATGTCAGTGTTTTGTACGGGTAGTCCCCGACTTACAATGAATTGCATTCACTACCATCCTTTTTTTTTCAGATCTTATCGTTAGTGATATGTACTACATATAATGTTGCAGCGCGTAATTTGCTGATATCATTCTCATGCCAACCCCCAATGACAAAGATCGAATTTGTAAAGATACTGGTAATAAAAGGCAATAATAATGAAAACTAAATAAATAAGTGAGGTATTTGACTTACATTAGAACCGTCTTATGACGGAGTCATCAGGAATGGAACCCTGTCATAAGTTGGGGACCACCCATACTGAAAAGCAGCGGCACTCTAAATTTCCATTTAAAGTAATAATTTGGATTCAAGGAGAAATCTAGTTCTTACTTACACATCAAAAGAACAATCACCAAAAGAAGATTGCCAAAAAGGCTCAGCATCACTAAACCAGTTGCATCTCTTTTACAAAATGTCACATATGCAATTAATAGCTTTACTAAAATTGTACAAATTTCTAAATTGCATACAACTCACGTTTCCAAGGCATTATATGCTCCAGTGGCAGAACCTGGATTAATGTAGAATTTATTTTCATGCTCAAATGCTTCAAATTTGTGTGTGTGTCCCGAGATAAGAATGTCCACATCAAATTGCCTCTGCAACAGGGCTAAGCTGGCCATATCTCCCCATGGAATAACTTGGTGTCCATGGATCAAACCAATTTTGAACTGTCCAACAGTCACAACTTTCTGTTCTGGATAATTCAGATTCTAAAATGAGAAACAGATATAAGGACATACGTATTTCAGAGATTTTAATGTTTGAAAAATCAGCCCACTTAAGTGTTCAATCTTATATGGGCATTTTGATACAGTACCATACAACCAACATATTTATGGAATGTTTTAGTCTCTAAGGCTCCAACTATGCTTACTCCAGGTAAACTGGCATTTATTATGCAATTCCTTTATCCTGGTTTATTTCTATAGAATATCGGTTCTTTTGGGCATGCTGTAGAGAATAATTATTCCCCCAAATTTGTGATTTTCCTCTATCTAAGAATTCTAGACATATGACCTGTCAGCTAGGGTGTGTTCACATTATATCCCAGGCTTTACTAGTTATGTAGCTTAAAATAATGGTAGCTAATACTTAGTAAGTACTTAATTATGAGTCAGGCACTAATCTAAGGGTTTTACAAATATCAACCTATTTAATACAAACAATGATAAGAGGTAAAGTTCTATTATGATCCTCATTTTACAGATGAGGAAACTGAGGCACAGGGAGGTTAAAATAACTTGCCCAAGGTCACACAGCTTGTGTGTGGAGCGAAGTGGTGGAGCCAAGATTCAAACTTTGGTCGTATGGCACCAGGGTCTGTGAATTCAGCATATAGAAGCAAAAAAATAAGTAAATAAAAAAAATCACTCTTGCTAATGAAACTGTCTTTAGCGTAGCACAGAGACCCTAATATGTTTTTTTTCCTTAACCCTAATGTGTTTAACAACCTACATTCTAATTACTGACAAGACGCTTGCCCCTTTCCCTTCTCATTCTGTCTTTCACCTTCATACCATCTCTATCCAAACTAATTTTTAATCCACTAAAAAAATAGAAGACACAATGTTCATTCGTGTCTTTAGCACCAACCAGGCTAAATAAGTTATAAAAAAGCATACGTTTCCAGAAATACAAAATACGTTTTTCACACTGCAATCAGGTTTACCATGCTAAATTAAACAATGTTGGCACTGGCAGGAGTGTTAAAAATCATCTAATCCAATCATATTTTACATATGAGGAAACTAGGGTTCAGAAAGAGGAAGTCATTTGCCTAAGATCTCATTATTAGCTCATGGGCAAACTGGGAACTCCAGAACTCCTAATTTGATTTTTTCTTAAAAGTCAGGTTTCTTGAGGCATAATTTACGTGCAGTTGAATCATCCTTTTTAGTATGTAATTCAATGACTCTTGACAAACGTATATAATCATGTAAGCACCACCATAATCAAAGTATAGAAGAGTTCTATCACCCCCTAAAATTCCCTCATGCTGTTTTAATGTCAACCCCTGAGATAGGGAGCCAGGGGAGGATTTTCAGTAGAGTCATGATGTGATCTCTCTTCATTTAAAAAGGATCGCCCTGGTTGCTATTTGGAGAACAAACTGTGGAGGGTGGAAGGATAGAATCAGGAAGTTGCAATACAGGAAAGCAATGATGGTGGCTTGGGACAGTGTAGTAGAGGCAGTAATGGTGAAGAGTTCATAAACAAAAATTTTATAAACTAAATGATGGCACTATAAAAATATACTAACAGGGCCACTTTTACTCGGTATCAATTTACTTATTTAGAACAAGTATTTAATATGTTTATCAGGTAGTCCAAATTAGGGATTTTCCAACAGTAGGGGCATGTGTAGTTCAAAAAAGCATCCTGAAAAATACAATTTTATATTTGGAAAATTAAAAACAAAACAAAATAAAAACCTTAATTGAAAAACCCTGATCTACAGGATAAAGCTTATATATACATATATGTATGTAAATCAGGAAGGGGAAATATTTGGGCTACATCACCTCATCGAAGTCTCCTCTCACAATATGAACATCACCAGCTAGAGTCTTGAGATAGTCATAACTCTCTTTGGTGCAGAGGTTCCCGGTGCAGAGAATGTGCTGAATCTTTCCGGGTACCAGTAGTTTTTTGAATTTAGCCGGCAAACTGTTGCAGCGGTGTGGGATGTGCAGATCTCCTAATACCAACACCAACTTTAAAGTGTCAAGTGAGATAACATAAATGTTAAACATGATGTCAAAATAAGAAATAGACTATATCAACATAGTTACATATCTATATTGTCCTCTCATTGCTCCCTTTTTACATTAAACTCATCAGAGATTCCAGAACCCAGCAGAGAGCAGAAGTCATTCAGACAGTTCCTATTGTGACCATTTAAACAAGCACACAGATGGTAACAAACTCTGTTCTAAATCAATCGTCTTTTATTTTGGTCAAACAGCTGTGCATACACAATACAGGTAGTCATTCTATTTAGCAAGAATAAAATAAAATATTCTAAAGGGATTTATTTAGAGACCTATATATTACGTTGATTAAAAAAATTGCTAAATAAGAAATACACTACTGGGCCCTATGGAATTTGGCATTTTTGAAGACTGATACGGTAATTCTTATTTCTGCAGTCGTAATGTAAAACCTCATATATAACTTCAGGAACACTAATAAAGGGAATTGTTAAAAAACAGAACAATAGAGAAAGAAAGCTAATTTGATAATTTATGCTTACTAAGACTGATAATACTTGGAGGAATAGTAGCCAAAAATTACAATATTTGTTAATTAAAACTATTAAACATATATTACACATGTATAAAAACACCTGAAGTCCCAGAGTTTCAATAGGGCAAACATGTGCTTTTGATTTATAATCTTTGATATCTTCTCTTCCTTCATTATTGAAAATCCTTACTTTCTGCCCTGTTGTATGGATTAAATTGCCTATGTACCCTCAGTATAGTTTCCAAATTTAAAAAGCAACATTTTCACAATCTTTCATGTGCATTAGAACACTTTAAAAAAGGGGATCAGCTAATAAGTGAATTTAGCAGGTAGATGTTTCAGAGTTGCAACATAGTCTCAGATGACAAAAATAAATTTAGCTCTTAAATATAAAAAACTCAATCCTGTAAAATTTTAATTTCCAAGATTTGACATATTTAATTTTAGCCATTTAACAGAATATTGTTAAAAAGGTTGAATTTTTAAATGGTATCTGTCCTCCCAAGGACGACAGAATCCATTTCTTTATGTTGATTAGTATCAGCACCTCAATTCTATGACAGGATATTTTCTCATACAGATACCCTATCAATAAATGTACATGCCTCACTGCTTTTGGAGAAGGCATGACTATTTCTTAATATGATCAGAGAAAACACTGAATATCTAAAATAGAAAATAATTTTGCCACCAGACTTTGAAAATTGAAATTAATAAGAAAATAAAAAGTGTGAAATTAAAATGATTAACTAAAACAAGCTTGATTCATTTTGCAACAAAAATCAAAACGAATGCAGAGGACAGAAATGTTATGAGGACCGAATAACTGAAGTAACATGGGGTTACACCATTGGCACACTTTAAAGTAAAACGCTAAATAAGTTTCTTCTTTATAAAGAATACTAGTTTCAGCTGGCATTTGTTTAATGTCTCAATCCAGATTTTAATCTGTACAAATAAAAACCACTGTGACGTTTCCACCCTCACTGGTAATCAATACAAAAGTATCTGGAGATAGAACAATCTTCACCTTTAAACGTGGGTCCCTTCAGAAACGGATTAAGTACATAGTTAATTTGGGAAGCTGGTATTTGGGAAAAAAAAAAAAGTAAAAAATAGACTTCTATATTAAAAAAAAAAGAACCCAAACTTATAAAAGGGTATATGTTTATAACAAACTGAAAATGCTTGGGACTAATAATGAATGAGCCATTTCAATCTGAATGTGCTAGAAGGAACATTAGTAAGACACGGTACTTTGTAAGGATTGATGACCTAAATTCTATAAAGTCCTGTGGATTATCGCCAAGTGTACTGAAACTCTTAGCAGCCTAAAGATACAACTATAGGAATGACCATACAAATGGTGTCGAATCAGTACGCATCCTTACTAGAACAGAATCCTGGTTTATGGCAGGGAGCCAAGTTATAGAGATAACAGTGTCACATAACAAATATTGTACTTTGAGGAGTGTCCTCGTCCAAATTCCACACTCTTTTGACAGGTCAGGTTAGAAAATAGATTATGGTTTTCTAAAAAATAGCATAGAACCTGCAAGTGGCAGTGTTGTTAAATTCAAATAAGAAACCAACACAATCAAAGCACGGGAATTTGCTTCCAATTTCCTATTTGATAGACCTTAAAAGGGCGAGAAACCCAGTTATCAGCTACCCAACCACCACTGTTAGTAGGAGCTAAGAGAAGAAACTTACTCTGTGCCCAGCCTTAGTGGAATGAAGAAGTTGATTGCAGACAAGGGGATGAAAAAAAAAGGGTGAAACATGACCAATGTTAAAGGAAAGCAACAAAAAGAAACAAACCAAAAAAAAAGAATCCATATCCAAACGAAAATGCAAACAATTGTTAATGATTTTTGAGTGTTATGAAAGAAAATGTTAAAACTCAGCTTTGCTATCTTGCCTTATCAATTTGTTCTATTTTCCATAATCTTGTTATCTTAACTCCCATCCCTTTTGTTCCCTGTTCTAATTAGATTTGTATAAAATAATCTGAAAAATTCATCAGTAATAGCTTAAATGAAGGCTGGCATTCTCTGGATTTTAGGATCTAATTATTCCACAGATATATTGATTTTAATTCTCTTATGTGCAAAATTCTAGCAGTTGAAAATTATACTGTAGCTAGGTCATTATTTTTTTTTACAAAGGATCTAACACAGCACAGTGAATACATGATTAAGTAATGAAGTTGCCAACTAAGGATGATAAAGATGATAGAAACAAACACCCTTTAACCAGCTAGAACTGGACCTTCTTCCCCACATCCGAATTTGCTGCCCATAGACTGTGGACACTTTATACTAATGAACGTCTCTAGTCGCCTTCGCCAAATAATGCTTCTAATCATAAAGTAATCAGCTAACAATGAATTTTGCACAATTCTTTCTCATAAAAAGTGACATACCACTACGACTACCCTAAAGAACTGTGTTCACCTCTCAAACAACTTTGGGAATGTGAAGCATATGTCAGGTAATTACTTTCTTTCCCACGGATAACTGTTTCAAAATTACACAGAAATTTGACAAAGGATTTGCTGTTCCTATAAATGGGAAGTTATTGCACAGAATAGATATATCAAATCTGTAAAAATCCCAAACGTCTCTATAGCTTCTTTATTAGCTCCAGAGTGACAGGAAGGCAAGGTTAACAACCGGAGTCTGTTTAGAAGCAAAAATCAAACATGGGATTAAAGCCTTTTATGTTATATAAAGAAGTGAAAAAAGCACTGATCATACATCTTTGGCTATCTCTTCTATAAGCCAATTCTTGCAAAGGCAATGTTTGTCCCAGAATCGTGGTATCTTCAAAATGCAATGGATGTCTATCGGAGACAGAAGTCCCTTTACACGTAACTTCATTAACACATATACCAAGATAATTAAAGGTCCTTTTGAAACAGTTCTTAAATTTTTAGTGGATCAAGGGCAGCTTGAAAATCCATGGGCCCTCTCCAGTAGCCGACCTCGAGTTTTTACGTAGGAAGGTCTGAGAGGCAATAAATCTGTCGAGAGTGCAGGGGTAACGGGAGGAGCCTGGAGGAGTCCGAAGAACCGGTGAGGTAAAGCCCCCCTAATTACCCCTTGGCACCAACACTGGCCCTCTCCCCGTTACAAAGTACACACTAACAAAAATTTCCAAACAATTTCAGGGAGTTTACAGATCATTAAAGAATCCTATTCTATGGGGCGCAGTATTCCGAGAAAACAAGGTCTTCCAGCAATTTTAAGTGCCAAATCCAGCCCTCTGAGGGCACACTACACATTTCAATGGCAGCTGCACGTTATTTGAGGGGCGAAGGGGAGTTAGTGTTTACTCCCTCTCCCTAGATGGCAGACTTAAATGGGTAGGGAATTTTGCTCGCTACTTCCCGTTTTGCACGCGAGTGATCTATTTCGCGACGTGGGAGTGGGAACCAGCACAACCCACCAGCGGGAGGTGCTTTTTGCCAGGAGGGAGCATGCCCCTTTCTCGGGGACGATCGAGGCACAGGCCCAAGGCCTTCTCCGGCTGGCTGTGCGGGTCTTGTGACAAGATAAGCAACTGAGAAAGGCCCTTTCCCCTCAGACATCCTCTGGCCCCGAGGGCGGGGGTGCGGGGCCAGTGCCAGCCGCAACGAGAGGTGGCCGCTTCCTTTCCTCGTTCGCCCTCCCCCCGGGCCAACGCACAGGCCGCGCCCGCCAAGACGTCCGGGATCGCCCAAGCCCTCTCCCAGAGACTCCCCGCGGCCCCTAAAGGCGCAGCTCCTCGGCCGAGAGCCAGGCCTCGGTGGCCGCCGCCGCCGTCCTCACCATCCTGTCACCGGGCTTCGCTCAGTCACAACAACCTCAGCCACCCTCTTCCTCAGGCTCCTCGGCACCCCGCCTACCTTGCCCACAACCAATGAAAAACGAATCGACAGGACACCGCCCTACGGCGGCCCACATAGGTCGTTCCACGCCGTAAAGCGAAGCTTCTCTGTGGGAATTAGAGGCTGAGAGTAGGGAGGGAGACCGGTGAGATCGCGAAGCTTCGGAAAGCGCGGGCAACATCCGGGCACCTGGGGCCGTCGAGCAGAGGAGCACCTTACGCCCTGGCATTTTAGGGCCGATGGCCATGCTGAAGTGCGGGATGAACGGTAGTCAGGTGAAAGGTGGAGTGGCCTTTCCTGCCTTCCTACGTAGAGGGGGAAAGCGTAAGGTTCAGGAGTACATCTCCATCATCTTGTTATTTCTTCCCCTTGCAAAGAGGCTCAGGACACAAGGCCTGAACACGGTCAACCTCCACAACTCCCCGAACCCTATTAGCTTCTGAGGGGCGGATGAAGGCCCATTTGCTTTTATTTATGCAAATTTTTAATAGGGTGGTGTCCATAAGGAAATGAAGTTGCACCATCGGGACACAGATTGGGGGTGCAGGCTTCAAAGTCGGAGTGAGGAGGAGTTGGGAGGAAAAATAGTGCCTTGAACAGTAAAAGTATCTGAGTGCTGTGAGTACAACATAGACCTGGTTTTGATTGCACGTTCTACTATTTTTCGGGGTGGGGGGCGGAGGAAGGGATATAAATCCCGTTGGGAATAATATTAGCACCTTTGTCAAAGGAATGAAATGGAAGTGCATGTAAAGAACTCAGTAATAAGTGGGGAGGTACAGGAACTATTATAAAAGGCGCTTTCAAAAATGCAAGTTATTCAAGAAATCTCTTTAAAAAAACAGTGGTTTCCTACACACTGTAATCTGAAAATGGTCACTGAAAGGCATCTGTGTTGCGGCTGGCTGTGCTGGGTGTTGAGGACAAGTATGGAAAAGTAGTATGAACAGGCACAAACTCCCTTGTTGAGCACTAGGAATTTCTCTTTTGAAGTGTGCACCTCAGTTGTCAATAATTATTTGTATGATTGTTTAGTTTTGTTTTTCCCTCCTGGACTGTTAAGTACTGTGACAGAAACTGTACCTGCTTTCAGTATTGTATCCCCAGTGCTTTGCTTGTCCTTGGAACTTAGTAGCTACTCAAAAAACATTCATTGAATGAATGAAAGGTCTGTATTAGGTAGCTCAAGGGAAAAGAGGTGACTGTGAAGTGGTAAAAAGGGACAAATGCCCCTATGTTTTTTTAGGGGGTGTGTATGTTTTTCATCAAGGATCCCTGGTGGTGCAGTGGTTGAGTTCTCAGCTGCAAAACAGAAGGTTGGTGGTTTGAAGCCACCAGCTGTTCTGTGGGAGAAAGATGTGGCAGTCTGCTTCCGTAAAGATTACAGCCTTGGAAACCCTATGGGGCAGTTCTACTGTGTCCTTTAGGGTCGCTATGAGTCGTAATCGACTTTTCCACAACTTTTTTTTTTTTAAATCTTATCTTTCTCAGTGTATAGTCTTGTAGTTCTTAAGCATTGTAAACTGATTCTGTGTTCTGGAATTCTTTTTTTTTACTATTTTTCCGTGGTGCAGCTGGTTAACATCCTCAGCTGCTAACCAAATGGTTGGCACTAGGCGTCCACCCAAAGGCACCTCGGAAGAAAGGCCTGGCGATCTACCTAAAAAGCAGCCATTGAAAACGCTATGGGAGGAGGGGACCCTGTGGAGCACAGTTCTACTCTGCCACACGTGGGGTTGCCATGAGTTGGAATCAACTTGATAACAACTTCTTTTTTAAAAAATACTTTTCCATGGATTGATATGGCCATCTATTTTTGCTGCTGCATAGTGTACCATATCTGTTTGCCACATTTCTTTCTTATTCATAATAAATAAGAATATTAACAGTGCCCTACCAGTGCCTACCCTTACCCTGACAGGGTAACTAAGTGTGTTTGGTGGGACAGGCTGGCATCTTCCATGCTACCCTCAGACATCAGAGATGCATCTTATAGATCTCTAATTTCTCTCATAACCTGTTTTGACTTTGCTGTCTGTGAAGTTAGTAAAACCCTTCAATGCACCCTCTCTTTGCTCTGTTTTCACACTTTATGTTTTGCAAATACATTTAAACCAAGTTAAAAAATACATTAGTATGGAAAGTATCTCCATGCAACATTGGGAACATCCAGAAGTGAAGAAATTTGTTGCATTTTATCATTTCATGAACTCATTTTGCAAATTATAGAGTTCTTAATATACGTCTGGCATTTTGCCCAGGATATTATACTGTATTTTTAAAAGCAATGTAACATTAACCTATAAAACACTTTATGAATTTATCTTGAGTTCTCTGAAAGCTACAGTAGTCTTATGATTTGTTTTTATTGTTAGTGAGAAAGAAATGTAAAAGCACCTTTCTTTTTCTCCATAGTATTTGGGAAAGCAGTCCAAGCTTTATCACGAATTAGTGACGAGCTGTGGCTAGATCCGTCTGAAAAAGGTGTAAGTTAAGGAAATTAACTAATAGACCATCTATTAAGGCAAAAGAAGATGTGTAAAGGTTCCTGTCCACATTGCATGTTTTTTTATTTTATTATTTTTTATAGTTGTGTTTTAAGTAAAAGTTTACAATTCAAGTTAGTCTCGCATACAAAAATTGATACATACATTGTTATGCAGTGTTGCTCTCCCTATACTGTGACAGCACACTCCTCCTCTCCACCCTGGATTTCCCGTGTCCGTTCAACCAGCTCCTGACCCCCTCTGCCTTCTCATCGCGCCTCTGGACCCACGTTGAATGTTAAGCAGGAAATCCAGACGTTGTCATCATCCCTTTGCCTGTTTCATCTTTATTTTACATATTTGAGTACATTTGGAACACAGTGAAAATCATGCAGATAAACATTGTTTAAACTGGAAGTCACAAATTGGTTATCTTCCAGTGGCCAAAAAAGCTGGACATGGCCTGCAGAAGTGTTTTGTGGGGGCTGCACTGTGGTTTTTAGAGATCTGAAATAATTCCCAACACTTAAAACTTGGGATAGTCCATATACAAATCTGCATTTCCTGCCTTTCTTGAAAAATTAGAAACCCTGACAATTTAGG